GTATAAACAGGTCTGGGAACCCTCACACTGGCTCTTGGAAAACATACAATTAGCTGAGGGCGCACAAGCACAGAGGTGTTGGAGAGAGCAGCCCGGCCGCCGTCCAGGCGAGCACACCTTCGGCTGCAGTCAGCACCTTTCGGGGAGAAACCTGCCAGTCTTCTGATGCAGCGAGTCGGGGAGGAGAGCACCCGCCGCACTAGTGACGCGGAACATCTTTTCACCCGCTTACTGCCCAGTATCCTCTACCCTGAACCATCTGTTCATTTCATTTACCTCTTTTTCTAATGGGTTACCCTTTTCTTAATTACTTACGAGCGTTCTTTATAAATCTCAGATATTGATCCTTTGCATTTATATGGCATAAATAGTTTCACCCAGGCTGTTGCCTATCTATTAACTATTTTTTTTTTTTTTTTTTTTAGTATTTATTGTTATAGAAGTACTTAATTTTGATCTAATGAAATAAACCACTTTTCTTTCTCCATAGCTCTGGCTCTCCATGTCTTGTTTAAGAAAGCCTCCCTTTGCTAGGATTGTAAACATATTCTATGTTTTCTTCTAATACAATAATTTTTGTTATTCTCAGGTTTCAAATGAAGAACTTGAAGTCCAGAAGCTTTAAATATTTGACCAAAATTATAAAGCTAGAAATGAAGAAGCCAGGACCTATATTGCTGTATATCTATGTGTAATCTCCCACTCACACCCCCTTCCTTAAGTAGGAATTAAAGTCGAGAGAAGTAAAATAGAATACATGATGTCCAGCAATGCTGAAAACGGGGATAAATGTACATCTCTGCATGGAGAGTATATAAACGACTGACATGTAAGTGATTCATCCTCAGCCTCAGAAAACCAGCATGCATCTCCTCCACCTACGGGAACTGCGGACAAGGGTCCCAGTGACGGGAGATCTAAAAATTCCAGTTATAAGTAAGTCATGGGGATAAGGAAAATAATCAACATCGGAATAACTATGCACGGCGATAGATGGATACTAGACTTATTGTGGTGAAAGGTATATAAATGTAAACTTACTCTCCTGTCCACCTGAAGCTAATATAATACCATACGTCAATTGCAATTAAAATAATAAAAACATTTTTAAAAAGAGTACTGAGCAAATTACTAGGTGCCAACTACTGGTTGCACCTCTAGGTCCAACTACTCATATTCATTCATTCACCGATCCACTCATGCCAACAAACACATACTGAACACCTACTATATCCCTCATCTTTGCTCTTTGCTAGACTTCTCCGCACACATGTTCTGTGAGTTCCTAAAGCTTTGCTTGCTCAAAATCAACATCTACACTCACAATGTTCCTTGAATTGTGGTCATTTAGGTCACATGGCTTCTATATGCTACCAGCAAGTGAGCTCCCTAGAGTGGGATTTACCTCTGATGGGTCTCTGTGTCCCCCAAAGCACAGAGCCCAAGACCCTGGTGGTATACCTGCTCTGTTAGTGCACCTGTTACATTGTTGTGTGATCAGTAGCTTAACTTTCTCTCCTGTGGATAATGAATAATGAAGGAATGAAGGCAGGAAGACACACCTTGTATTTTCAGCAAACCCAATCTTTCCAGTGGTTTTACAATTTCACTGACGATACTATTTGTCCTTACTACCACCAGTCACAATCTTGGTATTACCATTCTATCCTGATTCCTCTCTTTTGTTTTATTTTTGCTAATATCTACAATGAGTTGTCAAATGTTGTTGCTTCTGTTGCCACCCAGCCCAAATCTTTACTATTCTCCCCGCCACCACTTTAGTTCAGGCTCATTGTTTCCTGCAGAAACTATTCTGAACGGTCTTCCACCTGGCCCCCCACACCAATCCACACGCACCTCTGCTGCCACACAATCGTTCCTGAATAGTAATCTCATCGTGCCAAGCTCTCGTCGAAAACCTCCAAAGGCTCCCTTGAACCCGGGGAGTTCATTTCAGACCTCTCGGCTGCACCAAGGCTCTCTATACACGACCTCATCTACATTCTGATTCTAATTTCCCATGGCTAGCCCGCTCTGTTCTTCCTCCCTAGTCCCCAACCAAACAGGACGTTGTGCTTTTTATTAAATCTCTTCTGCGTTTTCCGGTCCTGTTACTTCTTCCTGGGACACTCACCGCTCATTCTGTCCTTCGAGGCCCACTGGAAATACCAGCCCTTTCATGAAGTGGGGTCCAACACCCCGATGAACAGATCTCGGCCTCCTCTGACAGCAGCAGGACTTTGTATTGCCCTCCTGGTTGGAATCAATCTCATCCTGTTTTATTTATAGTCACTTGGTGCTTAGCATCAGCAACACAGCAGCTGGCGGTGAAGGTCAGGGCTTTGCCTAATTTTCTATTTTTCTGCAGTCTGGTACAGAGCCTCACACTCAGAGGCAATCCACAGAATATCTGTTGAACAGAACTGTTCTCTCAACTTTCCCGTGTCTCTCTATACAAACAAGGGCCTTAGGCATAGTAAGTGCTCAAAACATACTTGTTTAAATAATTACCGATCTGTGTAGTTCCAGAGCAAGATTTTTCAAAATGCGTTTAACCTAAAGTATTCATTTAGCAATCTCTCACCAACTAACGAAAAGGAAAAAGGAAAGAAACACTGACTCTGACATCCTTTATTCGTTCCTTTTCTTTTCTATGATAATGCCTAACTCTTACCAGGTGCCCATCACATACCAGGTACTGCCCTCAAAGCCTAAAAATGAGCATCTCATGTAACCTTCCAAACAGCACCACCAGGAGGCACTGTCTTTCTCCCCAGTTGATGGGCGGGAGGTTTAGAGCAGGACCTCGATCCCGCAATGAGCAAATGGCAGAGCTGAGGTTTCAACCTGGGCAGTTTCTGCCTCCAGAGCCCACTGTCATTCTGCCTTGGTTCTGTTTGCTGAGCTCCTTAGTTTCAACAGTTGGAGTAAAAAATATTTTAAAAAATACTTTGACCGACATCTTAAATAAAGTCATTCTTTGAAACACGAAAACTTCTTGACTCAGATTATTTTGATGGAGGTAAAAATCAAGAATTGTTAAACGCACTTCATCCACCTTCCAATGTAGCTTCAGACGTAGGAGGCTGTTCGTTTTCTTAAGCAACAGCGCGGTCAGTACCTGATTATGCATCCCGAGGGATGGCATGGGTGACGTGGGTGACAAAGGTGACGTGCTCTCAGACAGCTGAAAATCACTGGATTTTGGAAAGCAGTCTAGAAGTCTCGATCAAAGAGAACCGTGTGCTCGCCCTTATCCATCAAAGTACTGACATTCGTGAAGACCGCTGTTGGAGGCCTTGACTCGGATTGTCGGGCGGAGTAAAGGGGTGTGGGGGGGCTACAGAGGATCCCTGAGCAAAAATCTCTCTCTTGGAATCCAGTCGGCAGAGAAAAGCACCGGTGAAGATTCTGGCCACGGTGCTGAAAAAGCTTCTCGGGCACTGAGCAGGTGATCGATTATAAAACCAAGAGAACAGGGAGAACGTTGCACTGGCCTAAATATGGTAAGAGAACGCTGAGGGAAACTCACAAGCTGTAAGTTAAAGGTCATTTCGTCCCTGAGGTCTCAGAAATACGGGCATGAGAAGCAGGAATGGACGCTAGTGCTTAGATCCGAGAAACAGCCAGCGCCAGGCAGTCACCAGAACTGTTTGCCTCCAATGGAAACATTAAAGGTGAGATTCGTAAATCAAGCCAAAATTACATCAAGCGAGGAAAACTCTGATTTTCAGTAACATAAAGTAGAAAAATGACTACTGATGCTTCAATTATTTAGGTCTTCTATTTATCTATCCAGGATAAAAAAAAGAAATTCACATCAACAGGGTGATATTCCACTATTTAGGCATAGCGACCTTTTTTCTGGATTTGTGGTTTGATGTTCAGACATACCATAGGTATGATGAATCTCTGTGACTTAAGTGAAACCTGGTGATCCAAATCCCATTTTTGAAGAAAAATTGTACGATAAAGTATTTTCACTCCTTTAAAGTGATCTAAAATGCTCAGTTGTTGATACTTTGGTATTTTGAGTTGTAGATCAGATGTTCACAGCATAGAAAAGAATTAGCCCATTATGTTCATTAGCGCATCGTGGAAAATGACAGCCTTAGACACTCAGGAGCACTGGGTACTATTCTGCCAAAGCCCTCTGCTAATGCACAAGTCATAACAACAGAGCACACCACAGAAAAAGGAGTTTAAGTCAGGAGAAAATATCTCCTGATATCGCAAGCTTCTTAAAAGTACATTCACTCAAACACACAAAAAATAGCAAATAGTCAGCCCCAAAATAAAATATAAAAGCAATTTTGCTCCAGCACACCTGAATAAATGCATTTTCTTAATGATCTGTAACCTCTTTTAAGAAATCAGCTAATATGACAGTTAACTAAATGTTTTTACAGAGATGGAATATTAAGTTGGAACATGTCTATTGATTCATATAAAAAAAAATGGTTCCTAGCTTTCTATTTTAAGTCATTACAGTTCTCACATTAACTCAAAACCCATATTTAACATCACGAATGTGAAATACTGACTACTTCAATAGAGACCTATCTTAAAAGTACATTATTTTCCTTTGAAAGTCAACTTTCCTCAATACACTAGATGTCCAGAATAATGAAACTTAGCCATTCACTCTGACCTGGATAAGAGTTAAAGGAGGTGGAGAAAAAGAAAAGAAAAGAATGGTCCTCTCCCCATAAATCTCAACCCTATTTCATGCTTTTTCTTTTAAATCTAACCATTTTAAAACACTAATAATTTTGCTATTGTTTCCCCTGGAGCATTCTCTATCAAGATGAAAGAAAGGCTTATTCAGGAACAAACAGGATACAGGAGTAATGGTTGGCTTCCAGGCAAGCTATAAATAGTGACGGCATTTTCAAGAAACCTGGTGCCCAGGGTGTAAGTTGCCATTTAAACGTGCAGTGCAGATTTTATTACAAGGGTGTCACCAGAATGCGTGGTTATATGAAAAATTCAATTCTTACCAAGTTTTCTTGGTTCCTGGCTGCTATTTTCTGCTCCTCTTCTGCCCCGTTTTTCATGTATTTGACCTCTTCCACCGGTTTGATCCTATACTCATCTGAGTACCAAAAAAAGAAAAGACATTTTATGACTTTTTTCACAACGGTAGGAAAGTGTCAGTGAGAAAAGCCTAACGGTGTCATGTGATAGCATCTTTCCCTCTCCCTTTCCGTGGGATGCATCTGAAACCACCTGGATGGTTTAACCAGCCTCTCCTTAGGGGGCGCTCTCCTCTGTCTACCGGGAAAAGTTCAGCGCCACAGAGACAGCTAATGACAGTGGCATCACCTGGTCCTTTTACAGAGAGCACAGGGTGGCAGAGAGACAGGTTACTCCACTTCTAAGACGATTTGGACTCTGCACACACTAGGGCAGATCACATCATGGTCTAGGGAAGATGTTTCTCCTTAGGAACCAATGTTTTCCTTAGGAGAATATGACTTCAAGGTATCAGTGGCAGCAATTTTCAGCAGTTCATTCACACCTTAATTTCTCTCTTTTGGAAAAACAAAGTACTGTTTCAGGCTGAAGAGCTGAATTGATCAAGAAATAGATACACACAATGGGAAATAGCTTTATCCTATTTGTAATCCCTGTATAAATGCGGAACTCTCGGCCATTATTTCACATGCTACACACACACACACACACACACACACACACACACACGAATCTCTCTGTAAAGTCACATGAATGAAGAACTGTAATATCCAATGGCTCTAATAGGCGGCTATATCACTCAAGGCTGGAGAGCGTAGTGGGCCATGGTGAAACCCAAACTTCACAACAGCTAAACAGAGAGTACAATCAATCCCAATATTGATCAACATTCTAAGACAAATTCAGGAAAACTTGCAGCTAAAGCTCTTTTCCAGGGTAGAGAGGTGGTGAGGGTGATGATGACATCTGCATCAGATTCCTGTCTACAGGGTATGACTTGGGCACACTAGGTAAAAAATACGTGTGACTTTGAGTCATCTCGTGTCCGATTTGTTGGGGGAAAATCACAGAAATTATGGAATTAAAAAATTTCATCAACCAACTTGCCTTATTTTCTTTATAGTTTCAGGCTTCGTCACACTATCCCTTAATACACTACCCCAAAGACATTTGTTATAGTAACATTTCTCCAAGTAATTATGCTGTTCAAATGTTTCTCAAAATTATCATCCTTATGAAAGTAATACATTTGCATACATCTGAATAAAGACTCCATGTTCATGGCTAAGCCAACTGTTTTTTTTCCACCTGACAATCCAAGGTAGTTATTGCTTCTGCTTCTTTCTAAAGAAATTAGAAAGACTGGTGTGGGGTTACAATAATGAGCCCTTTAGGAAAAACAAGTCCTAAATGCGCTAACGAGTTAATCAATGACTTCTGATCCACAGCACACGAGACTTTCACATTCCAATTTGATATTCAGAAGAGAAAAAAAACAGAAAGGGAATTAATAAAAATTGGCACATTTAATTAAGGATTATTTACTCAGAATCTGGAAAAGCAGTTGTTAATTTAAGAAAGAGACACTGACAAATTATGCCTTCAATACAATTACAGAGATGAAAATCAGCTCAGATGGGCCTCCTTGACTTCAGGTTGGGATAGTCATATTTATAAACCATGGGTCACTGGGCTAATTGCTAACATTTCACTGATCTAAGTTGTGATCTTAATTACTTACAGTGAGTCTGTAATTATTTCAATATAAATTACACACACACACGCAGTATATGTTTCCACACAACTCCATTGGATCGTATGATTCCTGTCTATAGGACCCAAACACTCACATGGTAGCTTGGGAAAAGCTCAACATTTGAGGAACTAAGCAGCCTTCGGAAAGAACCTTGCGAAAGCCGGCCCTTCTGCCGGCTGCAGAGAACCGTGTCTCCCAGAGGGGCCACCCGGCCTTGCCCTGCCGGCTCCCCTCCCCGCGCCAGCGAGACGCAGCCCTCAGCCCTTCCCACCCCTCCAGGGAACGCAACTGAATGGAAAGCAGCAGACCCACTACTCATATTTTTCCAATGTTTGTCATCAACGAAAGGGAAAAGCTGCTGGCTGCATGACCTGAAGCAGCGTCATCCCAAACAGACTTTCTTTTCACATCGAGACAGAATCATCACTAATTCAGACAGAGGACCGGGTGGTGGCGGGCTCCCGGGCTGTGCTGCAGGAAGGCACTGAGCCTGGACCCCGGAAAGGAAAAGCAAACGCCCACAGCCACAAAGCCAGGCCCGTCGTCGCTACTCAACGCTCCGCCCCAGAGTCATCCCGGAGAAAACAGAGCCAGCGAGACCCTTAGATCAGCCACCATTTGTACAAAGCGAAGGTAAAAATGGTCTGTTGAGTTTCTCCAAGGAACGAAGATGTCCATCTGGAAATAGACAACGCATCACAAATGTGTCACCCATTTCCATGGCGACGCAGCCATCAAGGCCGGCACTTGCCAAGGGCCTCTGTGCAGACGGATGAGCACGTGGGTATGAGAGCGAAGCAGCCACTACAGAAACCCAGTTTTCCTTTTTTTTTTCTTTATTCATTTTAGAGAGAGAAGAAGGGAGAGAGATAGAAACATCGATGAGAGAGAACATCGACTGGCTGCCTCCTGCGTGCCCCCCACTGGGGATCGGGCCCACAACCTGGGCATGTGCCCTGACTGGGAATCGAACCGGTGACCTCTTGGTGCAGGGGTCAGCCCTCAACCACTGAGCCACACCAGCTGGGCTAGTGTTCCTTTTGTTGGAGGCATGGGGGAGCCCTGTGGGACTGCAGGCCCCCTGCCCCGGGTCCCACACGGGCGGCAAACAGCATGGCCACTGTCCCCAGCCACAGGTCCTGGCAGCAGAGCACTGAGCCAACGTGACCAAGAGGAGGGAAGCGGCGCTGTCTCCCTCCAGCTCCCTCATGCCTGTTCTCAACGTCCCTTTTCTTCCTGTTGGTCTTGTCAGGTGGTTTATCCGAGTGCCCATCACAAACGATCACTGACACCCCATCGGGAACCCGCTCCCCGCCCTCCCTGTGCAAACAGCTGGAAGCCACCATCCATCTGGGCAAAGGCAACGCCCTGGTGGCAGTTCTAGCGTGTCACTCCTGGGCGCCATCAGAGAGGGGCCGGACTGCTGTGGCAGCTCCATCTCGCCGAGAACAGTTCCCACCGAATCTCCGTGCCTCGCTGCTGACGGAAAGTCTGTTCTGGACATGTACACGTGGGTGTGCTGGGTTAACTTTTTTAGAGCTAGACTGGCTTTGGGAGAGTATGGAATCATCCCTGGTGCATGGGTTGACGCTCAGCCACTGTGTTCTGGGTCCTGGCAATTCTTCCCTTAGGGACAACTTCCTGGCCTGGCCCAGACCTCCCAAGCTTCGCAGAAAGATCTGCAACAAGGTTACTTCTGTAATCAACAGAACTAATTTTAAAAGGAGTCAATCAGATGGAGACGATTAAAAAAAAGGTTAACAATTTTCCTAAGTGTACTGATTAGATGGGGAGAAGGGAGACAGCAGGAGAACCCTATAGATGCTGCTCTCCGAGGTAAGAAGAAATCTTACCATTGTTTTCTTTTTTAAAAATTATATGTGAATTTTCTGGCAAGTGATTTGACCTGATGAAAAACGTTTTTTGTTATTGTTTTATTGATAAGAGAGGGAGGGAGGGAGGGAGAGAGAGACATAGATTTGTCAGTCCACTTAGTTGTGCCTTCATTGTTTGCTTCTCTCATGTACCCAGACCGGGGTCAAACCCACAAACTTGGTGTATCTGGACAATGCTCCAACCAACTGAGCCACCTGGCCAGGGCTACAGTTGTTTGCTAAACTGGTGAAATTCGCTCTTTCTTTCATACCTTCTCACCCAGCCTGCTTTTGATCAGCGACACATCTATAATAATAAATCCCATCTTTTCCAGGACCGTTCCAATTTCAAAAGTCCCATGTTCGTGTCCTCATCTCAAAATAGTCCAACGTCTGGGCGTCTCAATGAAACGACCTGGATTGTGGGAAGATCCTCTGGCAGACTGATTATCGTGCTGTGCACAGGGAAAGCTGAGGGCTTGGGAAAGGAGGTACAAGAAGTATTTACGAAAACAAACCAACCAATTAAATGATCCTGCTTTATAGCATACACTTATTCCCCTTGGGCTTTTCCCACTGAACATTCTGTCTCCCAAGCTAACTAAATTTGAGTCCCCAAATCCTGGTACAACTTCAAATTCTTGCCTAGGACCTTCATTTCCTTACTTGGTAGGATTTTTCAACAGATAAGCATTCACGGTGGCTAAGAGCTCAGCCTCTGGAGCTGGAATACCTAGCATTCCGGCCTTGAGCAAGTTACTTATCCTTTCTGGGCCTCGGTTTCTTCACCCGTAAAATGGTACCTGATTTCACACAGTCACATGAACTATAACATGCAGAAAGTGTCCCAGTCCATCGTAAGTGCTCAATGAATGTTAGCTGTTGCTGAGTCTGCAGGGAATGCTAGTCTTAATGCAAAAAAATATATAACGTAAACATCAATAATTACTTTAACCCAAAATTGTGACTTCACTGTGTTAACAAATGAGGAGAGAGGAAGTGAGAAGGGGTTTATTGTAGTATTTCTCTGACTATATTACGTGAGTGAAAATAGAAAATAATTCAAACAGAGTAAGAAATAACAATTACGCTTAGAAAAAAAAAAAAAAAAAGATCGTTATTTAAGTGCGACCAGGGCTACAAAATAATGCTCCTCCGTCTCCCTCTCTGTCTTCACACTATTATCACCATGGGCTCCGCCTACCTGGAGGGCCCAAGACCAACAGGTGACATTCCAATTCAGAACAGGCAGAACCACTGTTTCAGGGTAGAGGCTGCTCCTAAGAAAGGAACTGCGGAAGGAAAACCCTTCTGTGGACAGACAAAGAAGCAGGACTCCAAGACGGACGGATGAGGTCACTGCATCAGGAAAAAGTGGCCTTTACTGGGAGTGCTCCATCCACCCCAGCAGCTGTTCCTGCCTCCATCACTCGATTCCTTCAACAAACACTCATGCAACACTGCTGGGTAACTAAGCCCTGGTCTTTC